TGTGTGCGTGTGTGCGTGTGTGCGTGTGTGCGTGTGTGCGTGTGTGCGTGTGTGCGTGGGTGCGTGTGTGCGTGTGTGCGTGTGTGCGTGTGTGCGTGTGTGCGTGTGTGCGTGTGTGCGTGTGTGCGTGTTTGCGTGTGTGCGTGTGTGCGTGTGTGCGTGTGTGCGTGTGTGCGTGTGTGCGTGTGTGCGTGTGTGCGTGTGTGCGTGTGTGCGTGTGTGCGTGTGTGCGTGTGTGCGTGTGTGCGTGTGTGCGTGTGTGCGTGTGTGGGTGTGTGCGTGTGTGCGTGTGTGCGTGTGTGCGTGTGTGCGTGTGTGCGTGTGTGGGTGTGTGCGTGTGTGCGTGTGTGCGTGTGTGGGTGTGTGTGTGTGTGTGTGTGTGTGGGTGTGTGTGGGTGCGTTGTGCGTGTGTGCGTGTGTGCGTGGTGGCGTGTGTTCGTTTGTGCGTTTTGTGCGTGTGTGCGTGTGTGCGGTGTGCGTGTGTGGCGTGTGTGCGTGTGTGCGTGTGTGCGTGTGTCGTGTGTGCGTGTGTGCTTGTTTGCGTGTGTGCTGTGTGCTGTGGCTTGTGTGCGTGTGTGCGTGTGTGCGTGTGTGCGTGTGTGCGTGTGTGCGTGTGTGCGTGTGTGCGTGTGTGCGTGTGTGCGTGTGTGCGTGTGTGCGTGTGTGCGTGTTGTGCGTGTGTGCGTGTGTGCGTGTGTGCGTGTGCGTGTGTGCGTGTGTGCGTGTGTGCGTGTGTGCGTGTGTGCGTGTGTGCGTGTGTGCGTGTGTGCGTGTGTGCGTGTGTGCGTGTGTGCGTGTGTGGGTGTGTGTGTGTGTGTGTGTGTGTGTGTGTGTTTAGAAAGGGCCTTTTCTGAGGGGCCATGGCCATGTGCAGCATTGTGCAACTAAGGCACCGCGGAGATGGTCCAGTACGCTCCTGTCGACACGGTGTTGATTCCCATCAGTTCCCTGAGCCTGGGCCACCACACAGGAGTTCATGAGCTGACAGGAAAGAAGAGAGGATTCCTCTTGGAGTGCACTTCGCACGCCGATGGAGAATACGAGATCAGACAACGTCGCGGGATGGTATTTCCGCCCTTCGGCGGATCGGGAGCTTCGAATGTCGGAGTCGTTTTGCCATGTCGCCAAGATGTTCTGCCATGTCGCTGCTATGTTGATGGAGCATTTTGCCATGTCGGCAGAACGAACTGACTTTCACGTTTTGCTACTCAGGGGTCCTATGGAAGTGGCTGCAGCGCCAAGCCGTCAACATGGTCGACAATAGTGATTACAGTCGTTGGTCTGGCAGAGCCAGCTGCAATTCGGCTCGGAACGATGCCGATGTGCCGGTTTGATCCTCATTCCGTTGACGAGGTCACTTTTGGTGCTTTGAGGGATGGCAGCAGCTTTGCCGTCTTTGGTTAAAGTGACGTGCCAACTCCTTTACCCATGCTTCGGTCGTTGACACACGCAGTCTGTACTTTGTGAGAGAGGCACGATTTCAGGGTGTGACAAGGCCATAGACCCTGCATGTCTGGAATCATGCCAGGATCCAGGAACAGTTCCAGACGGTTCCAGTTCCAGCATGAGTCTGAGGACCAGGCACTATATGGCCGACTTCTCGAAGTGCAAGTGCCTCAGCTGTTCTTGCTAGTAACATGTCAACTCCTATCCGAGTGCCATCAACTTCCCTGAGTTGAAATATTCCAATATACGACGATATACTTGCATGGGAGTTTTTACAGAGCCGGGAGAGGAATCGTGAAGAGTTCTCTCTCCCAGTCTGGAGGCCGCCTGTGCCGCAAGCTCCTCACTACTTGGGGCACCACAGGCACACAAAGCTCCTCTGATGCCAGCTGGTGTCTCTAGAGTTCTGCACTGCCTGTCCGCACCGAGGTGCCTGATGGCTTGTCAAACTTTTTCTACAGGCGGAAACCTCAACCTACCGACCATGTCAACCAAAACAAGCCCAAGAGTTTGAAAGCAGGTGCCGAGTCCCACATCGACGAAACGACTCCCAGGGGCATGGAGACGCCTGAAAGCAAACAGCCAGGTCTGAAGAATATGTTCTTTCTCAGCAACCGCTGCGAGTCGATGTGTCTGTGATATTACAGGACTCTAGTGCAAGTGTGGCAAGCAAACCATGGCGGCACCGACCCCAGACAGGGTGTGGCATTCTGGGTGAATGATATCTGTCACCTGTACAACAAGTTGTTCCCTGTGGGACCTGCAGCAAACCGCCTACCCCCTCTGCGACGACAGTTTTACACTTCAACAGGAGCACGCGCACAAGACCGAACGCAGAAAGCGTACAGGACATCGGTGCGAGCACCATTTCGAAGCCAAACAAGATACCTCGCAACGAGCATGAGTACTTATAGGACCGAAACGGGAGCATGGTCCATAGCAATCGACAGTTCTACGCGAGGGACATGCGCATTCGACCGAGTTGGCAGAACGATTTCGAGCACCGCCAGATGAAATTGTGTTGTCGGCATAGCAGCCGCTGAGTATGAACACGTCGAGCCTTCGAGACGGCTTCAAGTGCTCCGTCTGCCAATGCAATCGTCGACTGGATCGTTGGTGGTACGAAGACATAGCAAAGAACGATCGCTCGAGCCCGGAAAAACACCGAGCATCGTTGGCGGAAAAATGATCGCGACACGGCACCTGAAGTCCATATCAATGCTTTTTGACCCTATAAACGTAAGAACCCTTCATGAATCCAAATGCTGTGGCTTTACACGGCTTCACAGCAACTAGATGGCCTTCCAGGGTAATGTTTTGCCGCTCTGATGCTGGGATTGCATCTGCCAGGCAGTCTGCATTGGCACGGACAAGTGATGCTAACCTGAGGTTGCCGAGCTGGAAAGCAAACTTGGCACATGGCAGAGATTGGCAGAGCTTCACGGTGTCAGGGAGTCGGGGAGCTTGCCGATGGTTTTTGAAGCTGCTTGCTTTAGGCCTAGCAGCAGGAACACGAGGATCCGAGCCATCCTGGGCTGCCAGGTCGAGAAAAAAGGGCCCAGACCCTCTTGCAAAACCCTTGCAATGCCATGTCTGAGGCTCCTCGCGCGCCGATTGCACTGGTCGTGTGATGGTTGTCTGTAGATTTGTTCAGCTTTCAGCTTTCACGCGGCTCCCTTGACCGGCTGAAATTATGCCAAGGCTCCTTCTCGGCAAAGTGCCGCAATCACACAAGAAACATAATTGAAGGTGCTCAACGGCAGCGGCAAGGCAGCATTTATAAAATTTATACGTGCTTCCGCATCACAGGCGTGTCTGATGCAATCATGTGAAGATACGAAAGCTGCCAAACACGGACACCCCAAACAGCAATTTATTAAGCCCCCAGTTGGCTGCTAAAACATCGTTTCGTGGTTTGGAGCGCTAACAATGCCTGGGATCCCTGATGATGGACTCAACCCGCGAAGATAAATCAACGAGCTTTCCAGATTTCAGGCTGGGTCGAGCGGGTCGACGCGGAGCGTTTACAACTACTCGATATATACCTCTGAGCGCAACTGCAATGCCTTGACATGTTCAGCGGTATGATTGGAAATCTGCTCTCGTTGGCCAGGCCCGCGCGATTTCTATTGTGTGTCTACGAGCCACGCTCGGCCGTTGTAAACTTTAGAAAAAGTTGAATTCTTCCTGAGAGGCATTCGTGATCTTGATTGCACAGTGGTGTCTGTAGCCAATAATAAACAGATGATCGGACCCCACTCAAAAACCTCGATGTCATGTGGAGCGGCAGCTCCCCTGAATGCCCTTAGTTAGTGCCGGAGCTGTTGAATCTCTTTCTTCCGCGCGTCGTCGAGGACAAGACCATGCGTCTGCTGTGGAAAACCAGAGAGCAGCATGACATGACCAGTGAGTCCTGACTTTAGCATCAGGGATCGAAAGGACATATGGGGATTGTGAACCTGGAATGCGCAGGCCACGATCCTAAACGTCCGCCTGCCCTTCTTCAATTTACAGTTGCAGCAAGCTTAGCACTTTTTCTGTTGACAAGCTGCCATGAGATGACTGGACTCACCGCGTTGATGAGACAAACTGAACAAAGAGTTGCGCAAAATCAGGATCGGTGGGAATCACGTGGCCTGCGTCAGGGCAGCAAATCTCGACAAGTTTGACCTTTTCAATGCAGTTTGTCTTGACCTGCTGCCGAGCGTTGCTGCTCGATCTGCATCAGCTTATCCTTTCTCACAGGTTCTCACAATATACAATCCGACAAGAATGCCGCGCCTTGGCTGTGGGTGTGCACCTGCTTGTTCTGAAACTTCGTCCCAACCTCCAGACCTGGAGGCTGTCGTGGCAATCTTGTCTGAGGGCAGGTATTGACGCATTCTGTGGGCTATGAGCACCATCCATGTCAGCCAAGACACATTGCTCCACATACCTCGTCATATCGTCACATCAAGCAGCGTACCACGATCATACTCCGCATGATGGCATCAACGAACCACTTTAGTGAAAACTACGCACACCAAGCCAGCACAGTTTCAACAGCTGTTCAATTAGTTCCTACCAGGTCCTGCCGTTTTCCCTGCTTCATCCCTGGCTCAGTAGGTGATAGGGCCCCAAGTGAAGCTTATGAATTGGAAAGGCCGACAGCCCGGCAATTCGGTCAGTTCTTGTGCAAGAACAAAAGTATAGTACGCAGCATCTACAAACGCTGAAGGAACGACTATCCACGATATCCCCCCGCCCTCCTTTGAACAGCGGCCCGCCAAGGTTGTGAACGGACAACAGCTCAGGAAACTCGGGAGGCTCTTGTAGCGAGTGTCCCCCACACCTCCAAGCCTCGCCTTCTACACCAGCTCCCTGTGTATTTCGACTCTCTAAGAAGGATAGCAATGAGGGAGAGGGTAGTGGTGGTGGCGGGATGCACTTCTGTCGCTGGACAAAACATCATAATCACGACATGCGCTGCGGAAGAAACTTGCGGTCCTTTCCTCGTAGGCATGTCAGAGTTCTTGCCATCCCTGGCAAACAACCAAAGCTACCTGTCGCACATCTCAACAAGAAATCGTTTGCGATCCGAGGTTCTCTTCTGCTGGGTCGTACGTCAGGAGGCACTTGGCTTCTCTCGTCCGAAGACCAGGAGCAACAACCGGCGAGCAAAGCACTACCCAGGGACAGTCCTTCGAGCGATTCCCACTTTCATTGAACATATCGACTATGGATTCATATCCTCCAGATGCACTAGTACTAGGTTACTCTGAGTTGCTCTTGCAGGAATGTCACACTCCTTACACACCCGTGGGCTGAAACAACCTCGCCGAGTGGTTTTGTAAACATTGTTCCTAGCTCTGTTCTGCAGAATGCATTTTGCCATCCCATGCTCCAGCAAGGCCGCGACCCCGCCGCCTTGGCTAAAGCCCACAGCGCCTGCAAGCTTCAAGCCTTGCAGCACCTGAGCGTCATTCAGGTATGTCATGGCATATCTGAACATGGATGCTTGCTCTCACACAGAACAATGACAAGATTAAGAACACGACACTTGTTGTGCCCGTTTTCTTTCGTCAACTGACACTACAGCCTACATCCATGAACTATTCAGCAGTCACAGCAATGTCAGAAGGTGCCGCGGCGAGTTCATCAATTTGGACAGCTTGCTGAGGCGTGCTGCACACGTGCTCACGGCTGCTGCTGTAGTACAACGTTGATGACAATATGGCATACGGTGATGCATCCACCGCACGTAAAGAAAAAGCCCTTGGGTTCGCGACCGGCGGCTGATGCAAAAAGAGGTGCCCAACAGCGTTCCGAAGGTAGCAAGTTCAACACCCACGCTTTCACTCCGAAAGCCACATGGGCATTACATCGAGCCTCATGAACCCTTTGCAGTTTCCTCAGAATGCTCAGAACATCCGCATTTCTCTGCCAAGCTGCTGCAATCGAGGATTCGAAGCCGTTGAAGTGGGGAGCCATCCAACCTGTGCTGTTTTCTTGTCGGGAGATTGTCCGTGGTGGCCGGCCGGCAGCATAAGTAGCCGCGCGATGATATGTTGTCCACCATCGACAATGAATGTACGTAAGTCGAATGACTAACAACCAGGTCAAAAGAAGAGCGGAAATGGGCCAACAAGCTGTACTGAGCGGGCTAGCGCAGCCTAAAGGTCAGCCGGCGTGGCTGGAACATCTGTCACCGATTCGGAATACTATCTGCTGGTGCAACGCATGATGCTGTGTTCAGTCGCGCAACAAGACTTGCGCCCTGCCGAGTGCTCCAATGAACAGCGCGTCACAGAAAGTAGGGACATGCTACTTGCTAAATCCTAGTCCTCATCGGCCTGCTAACCTGGGGTGACCAGCATTTCGCCCTGGATCTCTAATAGCAAAGAAGGGGCTGTGAAGCAGACTGTGAAGCAGACTGTGAAGCAGACTGTGAAGCAGACTGTGAAGCAGACTGTGAAGCAGACTGTGAAGCAGGCGCTGAGAAGAAATAAGTGTCGAAGGTGCGTCGGTTTATGATGCTATTCCTGCCCTGCTTGCCCTGAAGGTGCCTCTTACACGCGAAACTGCGCTGGAGGACGAAGAGAACGTGCCCTCAGAGTGGTGGTGGTAGTGGTCGTCGTGAAAGCACGCGGGCCACATTTGACCCCTGAATTTTTCTAATTTTACCCCACCCGTGGGGTTGTCAGACTTTAACCTCAACTCTTCTCCTCGCCCGGTCTACTTCTCCTCGCCCTTACTCCGCCCAACCCCAGGGTGCCCAACCCCACAGTGCCCCTCGAGTGCCCAACCCTGGAGTGTCCCTGGAGTGCCAAACCTCAAAGTGTCCCTGGAATGCACAACCCCAGAGTATCTCTATCCAGAGAGGGTGGGGATGTTCGACGCACGACGGGTGTTGAAAGATGATTCCAAAGAATCGAGGTCGCGGCTGCTGGCGCGGTGGGACAGGGAGGGGGGGTGGGCGCCTGAAGACAAGGTGTAGATCAGACTTATGGCTCCGGGGCTTGCAATGCAATTGTGTGGAACGGAAAAACATTTGTTTGAAGCAAGCTATCATTTTGTTTGCGCGCGTCGCGATGGAATTTCCCAGTGATTTGAGAAGTGTTTTGTGATTTTTTTGTGGGCTGATGACGGGATTGGAAAGCAGTGTCAAGTCAACCAACAGCAGATGACCTAAACCGAGGAAATGTAATGGAAGGCCCAAGAAGAAAATGCAAAGCAAGGCGGCAATACAAAGGCAAGGCCCGCAGAGAACAGTTGGGCAGATCAAGAAACATGCGAAAATGGTTGGGAGCAGCAACAGACACCACAAGTCTGATGGAACCTATGATTTTGTTCACAAAAATCACAGGTTTCGGGGTCAAAGCGCGATGAAGAACCAACACTTTAACAGCAAGAAAGCGCGCGAGCTGCTTGCACCACTTTTTGGCTCCGAGAACACACATGAAAATATGAGACAAGGAAAGCAACGGTACTCGCAGATCTTTACAGTATGTCACAGTATGTCGATTGCGGGACAGCAAGAAGACAGAGGAGAAGCAAGATAAGTCAGCGTGCCAGGTAGTAGTAGTGGTGGTGGTAGTAGTGGAGGCAGTGGTGGCGGTGGCAATAATCGATTTTCGGGCCTGTCTCGAAAGGCCCAGATGGTTGGCCCCACCACCTTGGACGGATCATCGAGTGCCAAGACAATCATCTGGGAGGATTGAAGATTTGGGTGGGCGTGGATGGTTTCGCTAGGTCCAGTCCAATGCTAGTCACCGCAGCACCAGTCCGTTCCTCTAAAGCCGTCCCGACAATCAGCTCACTCCATACTTTTCTGCTGACTGGGCACTCTCGCGCCTCCTCCTTAGATGTCACTTCTGCTGCGACCATGCGTCCGGTCATCATCCACAAAGCACTGAAGCTTTCACGCCATGTTTTGCCGCAGGCCGGCTGTAGGACAGCAGATGTTTGCCGTAAAAATGAGGGCGACTCTGCCGACCCTGCCTGCACAATTCCTGGTGCAGCTGGCCCCGAAGCCGCCCGCGGTGAGCTGATGAAGAGCCACTCCACAAAGCCCACGCGGCCTCAAGTCAACCCCCCAAAATGGGACCGATCACGGACGAAACTTCCAGAAGCGACCAGTGGCATACCAACAACAAGTCAAGAACATAGCAGTACTCACATGCTATAGTATGCAATCGAATGGAATAACCTGATGTACTACTATACAGTACAGCCTTCTACACTGTCAACTTTGCGACCTTGCTCAACTTCAACCCTTCGAGGTGCTTATGAGCGGGCCCATCGAAGCTGCCATCGCGTCTGCGTTAGATCTGAAGCCATGCCTCAGATCGAGGACGACGGAATGTATGAATCACGCGTTCGTCAGAAACCCAATCATCATCAACACTGATGTTGATCATTGCTAATTTGTGTATTCACTGACATCATCCGGTGTCATTTACAATGTTGGAGTTCACTTGGATTTCGTGCAGGCGCGCTGTAAGCGGCAGCAGCTTCTGGTCTTTCGAACTACTCCACCATCCATGGAAGAAGAGTGCCTGGCTGATGTGATTCGCCTGAGAGGTGGAGGACGGTCACATTTTGCGGCTGTTGTGGTTCCCCCTGAGTACTTTGGAGATCGCAAAGCCAGCTAAGCTGGAACAGGAACCGTACAGAAAATGAGACGCGCCATCGGCACTCATGAGCTACTGGCCACCGACGCCAGGTTGCGCACACAACACCTTGGGCCGTCCAATCTCCGACCTGGGCAAACACACGTGCTGATGCTACTGATCAGTCGCCTATGGACATGTGGCCGTTTGGAGCCAAGTTTCTGAGGACGGCCTCCGAGAAACTCAAGCAGTCGTCCTTGTTTTGCACTTGGGGAGAATGACTAACACACACACACACACACACACACACACACACACACACACACACACAAGCCCAGACTGCCCATGTTTTGTTTCGCATGATGCCCTGTTGCTACTTGGGAAGTCCTGCGCCGGGCCTCTCAAAAGCCTGGATCCTGTTGCCCCTTCTTCAAGCACGGCTGTTTTGACCCTGACACCGAAGACGCAAATCTTTGCAAGTGTCTTGGAGTTGGGTGGTCAGAGAGGTTGGCCACCGACACCGCCTGATGTAGCAGGATGCCCATGCAAGGACATTGACGCAAACTCACGCTGAGCACAAGCGACTCGACTCCGACTCTAAAAGGTGGAAGCAACATCCGGAGGTCAGAAGTTTTGGGCTGCTGGCCTGACAAGTTGTGGACTAATCCGTCGTTGAGCTTACTACAGCCTGAAATTGAAGGAGCCGTTCCGAGCATTTTCCAACCCTCCCCCTCGTGCATGCCCGTGCCTTGTTGATCTTTGATGTCAGCCGTCGCGAAAGCGATATCAGGCTCAACGAATCCAAGCCTGGTGAAGCATCTTTCTTCAGACTTCAGATATCAGACACCTTCTGCTTAATCCGAGCACCTGTTTAATTAATACCCCCACATTTAAAGAAATTGTTTTTGTCCGGAAGCCCGCCGGAAGACTACTTTCCATAGGGGGGATTTCGTATGGGGAAAACCCCCCACATTTCAAGAAACTGTTTTCGGGGCGGGTCCAAAAATCTGTCGGCAGGCTTCTTGTTTTGCTTGCGCAGATGCGAAGCTACAGCACCTCAGGGATCTGCAGCCTATCAATGCAGGGCCATGGTCCAATTATTGCAGAAGCCTGCCTTCCTTATTGCGGTGGGGGGGCCTTGAATTAAACAGGTGCTCGGATTACATCGTGCATGATCGTGGAGCAGGAAAAGCTGAAATAACGTGCCCAGGGATGCCATTGCTTCTTTCTTCGGCAGCCATGCTCTGAGAAATCGAGACGCTGTGCATGCATGCGCTGCGCTGTGCGTGCGCTGTGCCTTGCGCTGTTCAGAAAAAGACCAGGCCCAGGCCTGAAAGCCAAGCATGAGATGGATTGCACTCGTGACGCTGGAAGTGAGGCCGGCTTGGGACCCGTCTGAGGCTCATGATGGCGACGTTGGAAGCTGAAGGGCCCATAAGGGCCCATGGTCGATGTTCAAGATATTTGAGACTTGATGCACCATTTCCAGGTGGAAAGACTTGCGCTGCCAGCTTGCGGAAATATGCAGGGGCAGTTGCGTGACGCCTTGGAGTCAAGACATCAAGCATTACCCCGCGAGTTGAATAGGTCCTTTTATAGACAATCTCTTTCCGCCACATTTTGACATGGCAGAAGGCGGAGACGCCCTTCATGGCGTGAGACGTTTCCCAAACCTTCGAGGTGAGTATGCCATACAGGGGTAAGGGCCCGCAATCCCATGGCCCTGAGGTCGTAAGGGGTCCAAAGCTTTGCGGAAGGCATGGGCTCACCCCAAGCTTGAAATCCCACACAAACCTCCCTTGTCCCCTAGTCTCTCACGCTGCTTAGCGGGTCTGAAAATGTCTAAACCTCCCTTTTTTTCTTCTTCTGCACTGTCAATTGCAGCTTCGCAACCGACATGTGTGTTTCTGCACTGAAATGCATGTACATGTTCAACTGCATGCAGGGTTCTGTCCCTTCTGACCTGCATCTTCGAACGACATGTCCAGCTGGATCGGGCCAGACATGTCTGCCACAGTCTGGAGAAGCCACTGATCTCGGTGCATAAAAGCGTGAGAATTGGGCAGGAACAAGACTGCACAAAAAGAAGGATTGGGGTGTTTAGCGCTGAAGCTAGCTAAGCTTCTGTCAGGGCCTTGCAGGTCATTTGTGGGGTATCGCCCTACTCTTGGTGAATGTGGCCCTGAGGTTGGCACACGTGCACAGATTGGCAGCGCTGTGCCGAACAAAGCGTTGCAACAGTGGTTGCGACATGCCCAGGCTGCATTCGCCACAAACACCCTGAAGCAGGCAGCGGGCACAAATCTCCCTCGGTCTCTTCCTCGATTGCCACAATATGGCCTCGCGCGCCGCAAGCGGTAACACGGACCCAATAGCACATCCACTTGAAGCTAGTGATAGCTAGTGCAAGGTGTTCGTATGGCCTGCCGGAACCATCTCAAGCTCACGGAGAGATTGACATTGAGCACAAACATTTACTTTCTTGGAAGCGACCGGAAACGAGGGGAGCGGGGTGGGGAGGGGCATCCGTGCCCGGGAAAGGAAGAGAAGGGCGGATACCATGAGGAACCCTGGATCACATGCATCCTCCCAGCTGCATGTCACCAACTCAGTCATGAGCATGCTGCATAGTTCCCTCCTCCCTGCCTCCAAGACAAAGGAAATCATCCAAATCTAGGACAGGCTCCCAGCTGGGCAGCCTGACACAAGTCACCTGGGCAGAGACAAATTCCATGGCACAGGGGGCAGCAGCACCGTGCCGCCTGAGCCTTGTAAGTTTGAACGTCCAGCGGGCTCGATATGTTTTGATAGATGGTTCGAAAGCCAGTGGGGCAGATCGTTTCCTTGTGCATGGCCTGACCTACCAGAGCGCGAAAGTCGGGACCCCGCAGAAAACCTCTGACCCCCGCAACACTGACCTGGACCCGTTTTGAACGACCCCTGAAAGTTCCAGGGGCCCTCATAGAAGGACCAGAAGGCTTTGGAACAACGCAACAATATTTTACATGTTTTGAAAGGGCCGTTGCGCGCTTTCACGAGAGAGAGAGAGAGCTAAAAAAAACACAAAAAGAGTCAATACATAAATACGAGATCGACGTAGGCGCACAGCTTTTCCACGTGCTTTTGGATACAGTGGCGAAAGTCTGCATCCAGATCGGGGTATCTGGATCTTTTTCGTACACCAGAGTGATGGACTCATACCATATTGATTGAATCTCGGTGTATGCGAGGAGGGAACAAGCTCCCGGTCCACATTCGCAGACAAGAGAAGCAGGGGAATCTGAAAGTGGGGAAGGGTAGGTGGGAGAATTTCGCGCTTCTTTTGCCAGAATGGCGACGGAGTATGGCAACATCAAGCACAACATGGATCAACATGGCGACATTCTAAACCCCTCATGTCAGCAGAGAGCAGTGGACCTAGTGTTGCCATTCCAAACGCGAGCGTTCCACAAGACAACTAACGCTCTCGAGGGAAATCGACATCCTCGATGAGGCGTCACGGTTTTGCTTTGCCAGAGAGGTGCACAGCTGCAAAAGGACCCACTTTTGCTTTAAACCCCTGAAGCCTTTAAACAAGAGCCCATCCCCTGCCAAAAAAGCAACTAAACTCCCAACCAGGCCAGCTCAACAGCCAGCTGCCTCCAAAAAAGACCTTCAAAATCTCTCGACTCCGAGCCCAAGCTCAATCCCCTGTGTAGACGAAAAGAGGCAACTCCTTGTTCAACAAAGGCGCTTTGAGGCGATTTTACTCTTTGTGTATGGGGCTCTTTAGCTCTTTATGTAGAATTTTCGGGGCCGGGCCGAGGCGGTCCCAGCCGACACTGAAATCTAGAAGGTTAAGTGTACATCTGGATTATTCGTGACGTTCGTCACCCTTATCACCAGGACAGCCTCACAACATTTTGCTCACAGATCCATGTGCGTTCGCACGCAACGTCAGGTTTAGAGGTTGTTGTTATCCATGTGCTCCCAGACTTTGTTCCTCGCCTCCGGGTTCAAGACCTGCGCGGCTGCTGAAACAGCGGGCGATGCCGTAAGAACCTCATGAGACAAAACCATGACAACACAAACTCGTCAGCAGTGAAATCGAAAGCGCATTCCTCTACAACATAATTTGACGGGTTGGGCATGGCATCGCTTCGGTTTCATCATGATTCCACCAACAGTCCAGGCCAAGCGATTCCGGCCGCCAGCAAGCAAACATTTGGGAACATTGGGGAAACTACTCATTGTCGAAGCCGCTCAGAGCTGCGTGAGCTCGGGCTTTCATGGTGTGATCTCATGCTGGCTACATGTTATGTGGCAGCTGTATCACATGTACTTTGCCAAGCAGCTTTGACCGTGGAACCATCCCTACTAGTAGAAGCGCATACCAAAGCCAAAGTGGGCTGGGACCTCACCAAACGAGAGTATCATGGTGCGTCTAAGTGCAGACACGAGTCTAGCTCTGCGGACTGCAAATCTGCCGCCGTCACGCTGTCAATGGTGGGCGCACAAAGCACGCCACCAGGGCCTGTAATGGAAAGCAACGCAGATTGAAGTTGCTGGGAAGCTGGCCTGGGAACTACACCATGGCACTGCAGGAAAACCAGATCCTACCTGCTTCGTCGCCCTGGGCATGACCCTTGACCCTTGGCCTTCAGAAGCGGCAAGCATCGCTTGCAAGCATTGCCGCACGACGTCCTCAATGCACCAGGACCAGATGGAACAAATATGTGCGATGTTTTGCGAACCACAAGAGCACTGTCATGGCTCAAGCACACAGTGAAGGACGCGGCCAGGCGCGCTCCATTCAGGATAGCTTCGGGTTTGAGATTGCACCTCGTTCATGATGTACCAACCAGCATCCGTAGGACACCGGCAGTTTCCCAAGCCTCACCTGCACCTTCTCATGCCTACTCATCACGAACTTCCCCATGTTACCCATCTCCCTGTCTCAGCAGTGGAAGCATATGGAAAATATGAAAGCGTCCAAGCTGCATCCTTGGGGCCTGCCACGGTGCTTGGGCACCGCGGACGGACTTCGCAAGGCTCCACGGCGACGAGGATCTTGCGTCACGAGGATCGGTTGCACCCGGGAAAGGGGGGAGTAAACTCAAGTCGGATCAGGTTACCCGCCATGACTAGCTGCCTTGCCCACGTGAACGCCCTTCGAGAAGTACTCCAAGGCACCTGCTTGGCTGAGACTTTGCCCCTGTGATGCTAAGGACTTGAAACGACCTGAAACCTGAAACTGCGGCATATGGACAGTCGGTCCTTTCGAATGTGACATCTGGATGTGGAACGCACACTGATATGCACACTGATACAAGTATGCACCAAACTCTTTTGCACACACAAGCCTTCAACCATGGTGATCTTGTGTCAAAATATGAGCTCTTGACTCGCTTGACGGCGAAAGCGGAGACCGCAGGCACCGGTAGCACAAGCTAGTGCTGTGTAGCACTGTGTATGTAGGACCTTGAGGGTCTATTTGGCGTTTGGGGCTTCGTCATTAAGAGCTCAGCGACTCGATTTGTGAACGTAGAGATATGTGAATTCCGTTCAAGCCTTTAAAGATGAAAATCGAGTCTCGCTGTCTCAACTTAGGGATTTTGAGCCGTTTGAAGACCAATTGAAACCTCTACAATCCTGGACAAATGTATACTTCGACTTGCAAGTTTAAAGGCGTTGAAGGTTTTAGCCGGTTTAAATCGTTCCCGGATTGTCCGGAAACCATGGCATGATTTCATCAAGGGTTTGAAACCTTTAAAACCCGCAATTCTTACAATCTCTATGGTTCCGGGCTTTCAGGAGACCTGGGGAACGAAATGAAACTCTTAAAGCCTTGAAAACTGAAATCTTGTCATGGTTTTAGAAGTTTTTGTGTATTTTCCAATGAAAAAAGCCGCAAGGTTGAAAAGCAAATCACGACAATTTGCAGCTAGAGGATTTTAGCATTTCAAGGTCATTCAACTGAAGCATTCGGGACTTGATGTTCAAATTTAAACTTTCAAGCGTTTGAAAGCACATCGAACCTGTAAAGTCATGAACATCACGAGAATCGTCCCCGGGTTCTCTGGAAATTTCAAGTTGGAGACAACAAAGGTTTGAAAGCTTTTGAAAATGTTGAGCGTGTTTCCGGAGGGTCCAGAAACAAGCTGGCCTTACAAACCGGGAACCGATTTTCAATTTTAACGACTTTGAACCTTCTAAAAGCCATCCGTTACTTTTCTTAACAAGAAAAACTGCTCCATTTTGCAAATTGAAACTTTGTCAGGTTCTAACAGTGTTAAATCGTTCCAAGGATGCCCGGAAACTTGAAGACATGGAGGCTGTTAATATTTAAGGGTTTTGAACGTTTCCAAGCCTTTGAAATTCTTACAACTTTTGGAACTTTTTCATTGGCCTGGGGCCGTGGTTTCCGAAGACATTGGAAACAATATATACCATTGCGAAACTTTTAAAACTCTAACTGGTTTAACAGATTTGATGCATCTACAACCTTAAAAAGCCTCAAAATGAAAGATATTTCAGTCTTAAATTTAGAGCTAGGTAAGCTATTTTAAAGTTGTAACAATGATAAATCGTTGTCGGATTCTCCGCAAACCAAGATTCCAGGCCGGTTTAATTAGGGCTTTAAGCATTTTTTTGAAGTCTTTGAGCCTTTAAGTTTGAGAATCTGGATGGTTCCAGATTTCCGGAGATCCCGGGAACCGTTTGAAAAACCTCGAAAATTCACCTGTTGTCAAGGCCTTAAAGGATTCTGAAATGCCAGAAATTTTCAGCTGAAAAACCGAATCCCTGTTGCTGCTGGCTCTTCCTCTGCTTCAGCTCCTTCTTCTTCCTTCTGTTCTTCCGCTGGCTGAAACTGCTTCCTTCTCTTGGCTTGCACCTCAATAGGGCTTTAGTCTGAAGTGAGTTTGCCCAGTCCGCAATGGCATCTTCCTTTGTTCACTTTCTGGTCATTCATGGGATACGTTTACAGCATTCTCAAGCACTTCCTCTGTCTCGGCGTGCTAGCCATAGGTCTTGCTTGTCCCATCGGAAGTTGTAGAAGCGTTTTGAGAGGCCAAGCAGTGGTCTTTGCGACAGACGCTAAGACCGACACCCTATAAACCCTCTAAGCCTAATCCTTGTAAGCCCTAAAAGCTCTCATATATCACTCTTGCAAAGCACAAACTGTTAAATCGGAACGTAGACGGGATCGCCAAATAGACCCTAAAGGTCGTGCCCATGTACCATATCCACCTTTGGAGACCGCCTGCCAAGTCCGACATGCCGAAAGTCTTGGTCGGAAGTGTCGGCAGCTGTGGCAATGCCTCCCAGACCTTTCAAGGGCTCTGATTCTCGATGACAGCTGGACACGGTCCCGTGGATCGCATCCCTCACGTGGAATTCCGCGCGTTTACAACTTGACCAGCTTGGAGCTTGTGGAAGTATTGCTTCTGCACGGAACTGGCAACGACATCTAGCTTTTGACGACGATCGCGGATCTGCAATACTTGGCATCTGCGAAAGCTACGAGATGCAGAAAAACACCAGAACAAACTATCCAACTGTCACGAGCGTGTGGGAAGGCGGTGGCCCTGCTGAAAGCCTCGTGAACGCTGAACATGGGGGGCCTACTTGCCTTAGGCCCGAGCCCCAAGAAAACCCCATAGCGGCCTCAAGCAAGAGGCGCCGGCTCAAGTCTGGCTTCCGCAGCATCAACACGTCCAAATGCGCGGCGTGGAAACTGATTCCTGGAGTCAGTGTTTCTTAATTCAAAGAGCCATCAAAAACTCAAGGGGCCGTGGTAGCCCACTGCGCTAGCGATGTTTTGCAGTGCCGGATTTTCTTCCAAGCGTGCACCGCTACCGCTGTAGCTTGCGCCAACTTTGCAATCAATGTAAGTTATGAAAAACAGCTCGCTTCAGATCTAGTCATCCGTTCCAGAGTTATCGTTTGATCTTGATTGTGACGTCGTGACTTAGAACAGGAATGACTCTGTGAGCCGGCTGAATAGTCATTGTTTTTAGTACAAGCTTATAGTACTGGTACCGACGTTCCCGTGAGCCGGCTGGATTTTCGTTGATTTGAAATACAGGCTCCATTTTGGAGAGCCGGCTGGAATTTCATGGCTTTGTAGGAATGCTTGGTACTGAAATGAACATAAGCCGGCAGAAGTTCATTCATCAAATGGTGCGTCTCTGCGAGCCGGCTGAATTTTATTTGATTGTAGTACAATACAAGCTCAGTACTGAAATCGACGTTTCCAGGAGCCATTGATTTGTAGTACAAGCTTAGCACTCGCATCGCCTTTTTCGAGAGCCGGCTCCTTTCCAAATCCAACAATCCAAACATCCCACGAAACAAAATATCCAAACAATCTTAAAATCAAAACTTTCCTGGAAGAACCTCTGAAAAAGTTGGGATTTTCTGGAATTGTTATTTTCAGGTATTTGCACTTTTGAGGTTAGTCTGCATTAGACATATACATACATACATACATACATACATACATACATACATACATACATACATACATACATGCATACATACATACATACATACACACTTACTTACTTTCATACTTACATACATACATACGTACATACGTACATACATACATACATACATACATACATACATGCATACACACTTACTTACTTTCATACTTACATGCATACTTACATACGCACATCTCGCTCCCATTCGCGACATCAATATTACAGGGGCAGCATTTAAAAATGCGCAATGCTCTGCAAGCACCAGTGTCCTTTCAAAAAAGCCTGCATGTGCAAGGGCTTGTTCTCATATTGCTCGCGCTTGCCGATTTCCAAGAAACTTCCGCAGGCTCGCAGCCTCGGCTTCTTTCGCGGGTTAGGTTTCGGGCCTTCTTAGGGCGCAAGGATGTGTAAGCCGCGTAACGTCTACGGAGGCCGAACCCAAATGCTACATTACCAAAAATGTCTGTTTGAGTCGCTGCTCCTGCAGAAAGCACGTGAGCCACGTGCTCCCGACGAAAGTACCTAGCCCTCCTGCATTAGTACGGGGGGGGTACACTACCACCTTCTCAACCTGGGCGATTCTGAGTGCAATACGATGCAAATGCTTGCACTTGCTATATCTGACTTGAAGGTGACTGGATCACTTGGACAGCCCACAGCCGTGGCTCTGAGCACTCGAAGTCGGACACAATCCCTGCAACGACAGAGTGCGGCATGCTGCCGTGGGACAGCCGGAGTGAGGCCGGGATGGCCTGAACATGGCAACATGGTGCATCTCTCTCAGACTAGTGACTAAGGCACTAAGGTTCACTGAACTCCTGCAAGCTCCAGATCTGAGAGCCAAGCCTCACCGCTGAGCGAGTTCAGCACCACGTCGACACCCTCGCCGGCGGTCGCCTTCTCGTGACTCTCTCACCATGGGGAGGACACTGAGGCGTTTCTTGGGCCCCACCAGAAGGCACTTCATGAAACCTAAAACCATTGAGAGCCAACGTGCTTGGACAGTTTAAGCTCACACTTTGCTAAAGACTAACAACATGCAGCAACGCTTCTGCAGACTGTTGACAAGACTGATACGGAACATTACAGTACACTAGCAACTCAACTGTAAAATGTTTAAACTAACCGCTTGTGCGCAAAGGTGAGCACTCCATCCCAACAAGCTCAATGGCCTTGTTGACGCCCTGCTCAAACTCGATCGGGTCTCTGGAGTTGAACACCGCAGCGGCGCCCAACTCTAAAAGGAGCTTGCCTTCACCCGAGAGAACCGCGTCTGAACAGATGAACGTGTAGGTACATGTACGTCCAAACTCCCTTCGTTCTGGTACTTGTTTCTTCCCCAGACTGTGTTTCCTTTTGCAGAACTTTCGCGGGGCCGGCATATCTGGGACTCCGCAGGATTCGGGCCAAGGGGCAGATAGAATCTTGCATCTCTGTACCATGGTTTTTTCAATCTGCAGCCGTATCTTTAGAGTTTAGTCTGCTATGCGAGAGCGGGACATACCACCTGGGCCTCTATAGCCTGTAGAGACGCAGAATGAATTTTCCGGGACCTACAAAATCATTTGCACCGGCACCACAGAGGCTTGTTGCTATGCATTTCGCGACACTTCCGCGCAACCTGTCGCAACGCTTTCGCGGCCCTGGATACGCACAAGCCTTGCCCGTGGTGTTGGAATCTGATTCTCTTGAAGGAGCTGGTACTGCCCATGTGAAAGAGACGTGGGTGCATGCTTAGAAGGCTGGCAAGCAAAGCAGCTTCAGGTCTATCCACAAGAGCACAACTCTTTTGGACTTGACATGACTTGCACCATGTGCAAGGTTGTCCAAGTAAAGGACTACAAACGTGCCGATTTCCTGCAGTGGCTGTCGGATCTTGCCCAGATACGCTTCTCGGCTGTCGAAGCAGTGCAGTAGATTTTGCAACCAGCCTTGCAGCTTTCATTTCTCCTGATTTGATGCTACAGCTGAAACCATGGAACACTCCAAAATTCTGACTTTTGCGACTTCGGCACTCGCTTGCAAAGATGAAAGGCGGCAAGACCAACCCCCCCGGCTGCGCTGTGGATCAGAACCTCGGCGGAGCAGTTGCAAGAGACACTCTCCCTGGGCCCGGCCTTGTCTTTGGGATAGGAGCTCGCATTGAGACACTTGAGTCACTCGACCCTCTCGACCCTGACTCTCACGAGAGGTGAAACCCAGTTCAGCCCCCGACACGCTCGCCCTTGCTGATGCGGGCTTTCCAGTGCAGGGCATTCCATGCCGTGGCATAAACGCACGTACCTGCCAGAAACATGAGAAGCACGCTAACAATGCAGATGTCTGTGTGGAAGTCTGCAAGCTAAGACTATACATTGTACGCCTCGACGTGCTCGGACTCTTCCAAATGCCTTAAAACAGCTTGCGCCAACCTTGCGTTCGCCCTTGCGCGGGCTTGCGCGCGCCCAAAGCCTGTGCCTGCTATTGTTGGAACCGAGTTTTCGTTAATCGCCCGTGTAGTACCGTCATGTACTGTCACCAGAAGCCGCCAAAAGGACACAAAAGAACAACAACCCTCACTTGTTTTTGCTTTGCCGTCGCAGTTCCGCCACAAAATCAAAAGGGCCAACAGCACTGCAACACAAAGCACGAGCGGGGGTTGGTTTGCCGCACATTAACCCAATTCCAGCAGGCGACGGCACAGCAAAATTAAAACACGGGTTCCGAACAGGTTTCGCTCCTTAGAGCTTAAAAGAATGGTGCTTTAAATGGGAGAAAAAGAACGCATCTCTCCCGAGATCTGAGAAGATCTGCCTGCCCATCCTGCCTGCCACTGCCTCCTCTGGGCTCATGCTCGGTGCAGCATAGACCCAGCGAGCATCGGTGGTGCAGAAGGAGCCTGAGGTCAGAGCGGCCGGGGCGCGAAAGCCGTTATGACAGACAACCTCGTCTACAACCTTAGGCCTTCGGCCTCTATCAACGACAGGCCATGGCAGAGGCTTCCGATCGCGTTGCCGCATCCCTTTTGCCGGGCCGCCCATGCCATCTGGTGGCACGGCAATGACGGCGTCTCCCACGGCAAGGTCGGTGACACCGTCGCCTGGGTGGCACAGTCTTAAGCAAGGAGCTTTGGCACACCCCATGCACCCACCAATAACTGTCACATTCACAGTCCAAGCCCAAGCACGGTTTGACATGGCTGGGCTAGACTCTGCATCAGCTACATGCACACGGCTGCATGTCTAAATATGGTATCCAGATGCCCACTGCTGCAATCTTGCCGTAACATTCGCCGCCAATACCCAAGGATTGACCTGGCGAGTCTTGATTGTCCGACAGACGAATCCAAGTTACCAAACAATTTGCGTGTACTTATACAATTGCTGCCTTGCAGAATGGACTGCCTTCCGCAACCCTCATCAAGCTTCCACTTACAGAGCATACCCTGATCCACGAATGTGGACGGTTTAACAAAAACCTGATAAGGCCGCATGGCCAGCAGCCTGCCAAACGGTGCGACCAAGCACTCACTACGAAAAGCCGAGCAAACTCGGCTCTAACTGCAATCAGCAAGTTCACTGAGAAGCCAAGACTTCCCAGGAGGCACCATGAATGCAATGGCAATGGATTCGCGTGCGCGCCTGCTACCACAGAAGAGATAGCGCCCTTGGCCACCAGCACGTCACCTTACAACAGGTCACATCAAGTCCTTTGAATACACGTCTCCCAGAAGTGCTGAGCATTGCTAAGCCAGTTCCGAAGTAGCTCTACTGTAGGCCCAAAACCTCAAATTCGATCAAGCTCTGCTTGTGACTTAGTCTAGGAGCTTGCAAAACCCACGGCAAGGAGACAGAGGAGCTCCCGAACCAAAACACGAACCTCTCAACTGACTCCAAGTGGCGGAAGTTCAGGGCCCAAAGGTCTGCTTGGATCTCAACTTCTCCAGGCCCAGGTGGCTTGCGGCTGGAGAGACGGCACCTGGTTTGCAAACATTGAAATGGTAAATTCCAAGCCGCTGTGTTTATCTGGGTCGACCACCGAGCTCCCTTGCCACCCTTGGCCGGGTCCGTCTCCACAACATAGGGGTCAAGCCTTCCACGCACACAATGCAGAGACACGCCATGCTGCGAAGCTCATGCACACTTCAGAACCTTCAGGACAGACCGTCGAGTTTAAGGCTGTCCACGAATGGAGGATGAAAGGTTGGACAACATTGGACAAAATGCTACACTGCTGAAGTAAATGCTGAAATGTGGGGAGAAATCGAGAAATCCTGAAGTATGCACCTCCGAGCTCCCGAGCTCCGAGTTCAGACCCTGGGCCTGGTGGCCAGGATTGCTGCAGGAGCGGAGGCGGACTTGGTGCTGCGTGCCAAAAGCTGTGCGCCTCCACCTTAGATCCGTTTCCTGCATTGCTCAGCTCAGAGAATCACAGAACCCCAATAGAAGATTCGGCTCCAGGGGGTGCATTCTGTAGCCAGCCGATCTGCAAGCCAAGCCTGTGCTGCCTCCTGCACTTTGGAAGTTTACAGCGTAGATGTCCCTACAGCGCAGATTCCAGGCTCTCGTGGGCTATCAATAGACTCAATAGACTACTGGCTTTGACAAGACATCCATTCTCGTGTGCTCAGATAAGCCAGGTCTTGCCTTCCTGACCATCAGGACTCATCAGGCTCCGAAGTCAAACATTCGCAAACCACAGCGACAGCAACTCCTCCAGATGCACCAAAACATTGCCGACCCGATTATTCACTCTTGGCCACCATCTTCATCCTCGGCGCGCAACATGGCCTCCACGGAACGCTACAAGCACTTTTGGACAAGTACGGCACTGTTCCCAACAGCACTGCATTGACGTCCGCAGCACATCCGTAGGTCATTTCCCCAAAACCTGAGGTGGCATGAAACTGCCAGTCGACACGCTCGATACCGACCAACGCTGCTTTACGCAATGCAAAGAGCTGGCTGCGCTTCTACACGGGTGGCAGCTGTTTCTGCCACTATGCGCAGTCACGACCCACGACGCCTTACATATGCCGCTGCCTGTTGTGGTAGCGTCACCAAGTAGCACTCGCTAACACATATAGGCATCCTTCAGTAGAGAGAAGGTTTGAAAATCCGAGAATACAAGACCACTCTTTCCAAAAGATAGAATACTGGCCTTAACTTAAGTTTAGGGCGACGAGGCGCCCTGGGGGGTCGGGGTCAAGTGTGTTCTATCCATGGGTTCCCGCAGGAGTTGGAGGTCCTCTCCTCCTCTCCTCCTCTCCTCCTCACGTGAACGTGTGTGACTAAAAATGTATATTTAGATGTACATGTATCATGAAAAAGGTTCTCTATACACGCGTCGTTTTTTGTGGCCAAAAAAGAGATTGTTGACTGCTTGCCTGAAACCTCGAAGATTTAACGCGCGTGCGCGCGCCCGCGACAAGTAGAAATTGAGAGCATCGAAACTGGCAAACATTTCGCGTCCGCAAAACTCGAAAGTTTACAACATCTCGTTGTGTTTTGCATACGCGTGCCAAGCACGAATACGAAAACTTCAAGATTTCGTTTTTGTCGCTTCCGCGCGCCAAGCAAGAGTTCGAAAATATCGAATTTTTCTTTTTTTGCGTCCGCGAGCCAAGCACAATGTCGAAAATTCGAAATTTTCGTTTTTTTCGCGCCCGTGCGCCAAGCACACTGTCGAGAATATCGAAATTTTCGCTTTTTTCGCGTCCGCGCACCAAGGGAAAACGCGTACATTTTGGAGCCGCGTTTGGTTGACACATGGAAGTGGGACGTAGGTAGCAAGCGGAGTGGGAAGCGATACCGCTTCTATCCGCTTCTGCTGAGCAGCAGGGGGGTCTCAGTTCGATAATTTCCAAAGTAGCTCGACAGGTTGCCGCCGCCCAACCCGCTTGCACATAGTGCAACTTCCGAGCCCGGGGGAGGGGGCGGGGAAACACCCGAAGGATGGCCCAACAATAGTTGAGTCATAGGCTGCCAATGGCTACCATGTAGTCTTGTAATTGGATGCGTGCGTCATAGGTCAACCTCACTCCTCCGAAACTCGAGAAGGGCGCAGGGTAGTGTGAATGTTCTTATACTTCCCCGTATGTATGGACACAGGGCGTCATGGGGGTAACTCCGAATGCTAACACTGGCTCACACCTGGCGCATTTTGCCAGCCTTGGCATCCATGCCGAGACCAGATGATGCGTCCCGAAGGTCATCGGCCGAGCCGATAACAGCATTCGCACCAACCTCCGCACTGAGACTTGCAGGGCCTCTTCCGGGGGGCGAAACATGCCATGTATAAACTTGGGAGTGTAATGTGCTTCCAAACAAGCAACCAAGTCATCGCAACGGCTTCTCTTGAGGTTGTGACGGAATATGCCAGCATCGCACGATTTAGAGCATCTTGCCAGGCGTATGCCCTGCCTCGAGGGCCGCCTCGGCCGCCGCTTCTGCAAAGGAGGTGCCTGCGACTGGTGCAGTGGTCCCCTGGTAAACGTTGGAATCACGTAACTACGGCCGTAGAGTTGCCGCTGATGCACTACTGTGTGTCTGCTGACATCTGCAAACAATCACGTGCCCAGTGTGTCCACATCTCATGAACTCCGACGCCTTCATCTGCAATCGACAGCAACCAGCACCGCTCTCGGGCAGCTATGCGTTGGACGATGTCGCGACACTGCTGCCTGTGCCGCTCGTATTCGGGAAGCGCCCATGAGATGCCGAAGCACTTCACCCTACTCCTTGTCCAGGATTCTTACCCCAAACACTATTACCGATTCGTCTGGGCAGATGGTGAGGGCCAAATGACTGCGAATAGCGGGCAAATCCGGCAGTTCGTCGAACTTTGTGGTGGGCTTTCAGTGGACTTTGTTGATGTTGGTTGCGCACATTCTCACGCAGGCACTTCGGTGCGTTTTGGACCTGGGCACCCCACAGTGCAGCCCGGCCACACGTCCTGGAGTGACTTTGCCCTTACTGCCACGGCGACAGCTTCGTGAGAGTCCTCTGGCTTGTCCTGGCACATTGGTGACACTCTTCCACATGCCAGTGCTTGGGCCCAACGCCCATGTCCCTAAACAGCTGGCAGTCAGGCAGACAACGGCCAGACATATTGTCATGTTGCAGGCCGGGTCGAAATTTGGAACAGTGGAATGTCAATCCAGGATAGCCGGCCAAGGTCAGCTAAGTGCTTACAGACGTTTGCTGGCTCATCCATCTGCAGCCACGCGGCCGTGCTGTCGGGCAGGTTCAGCTGCTGGGCTTCTTCACCAACCTCGTTTGTCACATAGGGTTTGTAATTCAAGCCGCTCTGCTTGCGACAGCCCCCATGGCAGGCTGTCTGTGAGGATGTCTGAATGAAATAACGTGCCCGGCAAATATGGGTAATTAACAATGATGGGGGCGGTATGCCATCGCAACACAACGATACTTGAATTTGCGCTGGAAGAATAGGTTCAAGTTCTAAAGGTTGCAGTTGAGGGCACTGAAAGATTGTTGTGCCAACACTGGTGCACTTGCGCTGCATTGGCCCCAGCTCTGGTGTTCTCAGGCACAAACCGTGTGGGGACCTAGTCCAGGAATCAATGCTGGATTTTGTATCCTGTGCTGCGAATAGTGCCTGTCTGTGGTCACTTCAAGAAGGAAAATAGTGGTCACTTCAGGAAAGCAACTAGGTGTTTTGCATACCTCTGTTGTTTACCAATAACCCTGACTCCTTGAATTCAGGCGGGGGGGACTTGCGGAGCCTCGGCTCCCAGACCCTTCGACTGGAGACTCGGGAGATGACGCTTTCATGCCAAGCGTTCTCGCGAGAACATCTGTGCTCATATTGCTCATAAGCATCTACTCCTTTGAGTTGGGGTTCTTTGATTGTGAAGGTGTATAACAAGACCGGGGTGTGGTCTGAACTTTGCGCAACTTACGTTTTGTGACAGCTGTTCCATAAGCTATCATGGCACTGTTGTCCGTACCCTAAATCCCGTCCGCAAAGCTCAACGGCTGCTGGGTCCTCGGAGCTGTAGATCTGCTTTTTCTTGATTAAGTTTGAAAACAACTTGACCTTGCTCTGTATGCGGTGTGCTCGTAGAAGAACTCACCGGGATCGGTGGGGACTGGAGGACTACTTTGTTCCGCGAAGTCCTTTGTGGCCTTCAACGTGCAGGCCTCTCCTCACCTGCCATTGCGCCTAAAGACAGCCG